TTCTTCAAGCACTCTATCAGATCTAATCCCTTGAATCTATTTGTCATTTCCACTGTATAATCATAAGGGATTTGATTTAAGTCATACCTGAGTGGGTAGTGGTTTTCCCTAGTTTCTTCAATTTAAGTTTGCATTGGACCCCCATAAGCAAGTGAAACTAGACAAAGCCCAAACAAAGAAAAAAAAAAAAACACACAGGTTAGACTTTATTACCTAGATTCCATTTTTATTTCCTGGGAATTTTTAATGGGCTTTGCTGGTGGCAGATCCCTCTTCAGCCCTTTGTCCCGCTCCTCATTCTTGAGGGGCACTAAGGAGCTATAGTCCGGCTTCTGTTTTTCTTCCTGCTAATTTGGGACACAATCACAACCCCAAGAAGAAAAGCAGAACTCCTCCCCAGATGCTTTTAGATATGTTTGGTTGTTACCCGGCCTCAGCCCTAACTTTACATCCCTGTGTGATCACCATTTGTCTAACCTTTTGCAGAAAAAGAACATCAGACAATTTAAGATGCGTGACCCAAATATTAGCAAGAGAATATGTGTGTGTGTGCTCAGTCCCTCAGTTGTGTCCGTCTCCTAACCCCATGGGCTGTAGCCCACCAGGCTCCTCTGTCCACGGGATTCCCCAGGCACAAATACTGGAGTGGGCTGCCATTTCCTTCTTCAGAGTGCAAATGCACTTTAACTTATTCCTTGGGGCTAACATCAAGCAGATCAAGGCAATCAGAAGCCACTGAAGTTCTGATTGAATCTCTACTTTCCCTGACAATTGGAGTCACCAGGTTGAGTACACAGTCCATCTTAATCCTAAGGCCCTTGTTATCCCCTTTGCCACATGTGACACAAATTGTGGACCATTATCATTTTGTAGGGATCCTACGAGCCCAAATCTGGGGATTATTTCTATTAGTAATGTAACCTGGAAGGGTTAATTTAGATTTCATACTGGATCTGCTTCTGTGACTTTATCCCTTTATCTTGTTGATTTTGTTATTGTTGCTGTTCAGTTGACAAGTCATGTCTGATTCTTCGTGACCCCATGGACTGCAGCACCCCAGGCCTCCCTGTTCCTCACTGTCTCCCAGAGTTTGTCCAAGTTCATATCCTTTGAGTCCAACTATCTCAACTCTATCAACTATCAACTATCTCATCCTCTGCCGCGCTCTTTTCCTTCTGCTTTCAATCTTTCCCAGTATCAGGGACTTTTTCAGTGACTTGACTGTTCACATCAGGTGACTAAAGTATTGGAGCTTCAGCATCAGATCTTCCAATTAGTACTCAGGGTTGATTTTCTTTAAGATTGACTGAGTTGATCTCCTTGCTTTCCAAGGGACTGTCAAGAGTCTTCTCTGGCACCACAATTAGAAAGCATCAATTCTTTGGCACGCTGGCATCTTCATAGTCAAGCTCTCACATCTGTACATGACTACTGGAAAGACCATAGCCTTGACTATACAGACTTTTGTTGGCAAGGGTGATGTCTTTGCTTTTTAATATACTGTCTAGGTTTGTCATAGCTTTCCTGCCAAGAAACAATCATCTTCTGATTTTATGGCTGCAGTCATCATCTGCAGTGATTTTAGAGCCCAACAAGAGGAAATCTGTTACTGTAGGCATATATAATGGCCTGCCTCAGGGAGATAGCCTGACCCTGCCCACCTATTGAAGAGTTGTAAGGAAGTGAAACTGACATATCCCCCTGCCTGAGGCTTACTACTTTAAGAGATATTTGCAAGAATTAAATGGTCTTTCTACTTTGTTTCCTCACCTCCCCAATCTCTGATCCATAAAAGAAACTGGAATCCAAGTCCCACAAGATGGTTATTTTGAGGGACTAGCCTGCCATCTTCTCAGTCACCTGGTTCCCCAAATAAAGTCCCTTCCTTGTCTCAACCCCTCATCCCTCAGATTTATTGACCTACCATGAGGCAAGCAGAGTGAGCTTGGACTTGGTCACATTAATGCCTTTGCCATTTCAGTAGCTGTTCAGTTCTAGCAAGGAATGCTTCGATCCACCCAGAAAACATGTTGAAATTGTCCTGTACTCTTGGCATGACAGTGAAAACAGTCTGCCGATCGTCCCCAGGATATGGCCCTCTGGTCTGAATAGGCCTTATCTGGGGCCTTTTGGGGTCTGGTGTTCGGGTTGTTCATTGTGCAAATGGGACATGTCTCAACTGTCTGAATGATTGTTTGACTGATTATACTTTTTATGCAAAAAATTGCCATGAGCTCAATTAACCTGTTGTATGGGACTTGAATTCCTTGTTGAGACTTCCTAATGGCTTGACAAGCTATAGTTTGAGAAAGAAGTATTGTCCATGTGCATTGACTAGCCACCCATGACCTCACAGATCTCACTGAAGCCTCATTTTAGGGCTTTGTCTAATTTTTCTTTTGTGTGGATTGGGGAATAATTGGATGAATCTGGCACTTGAGTTAGGAGGGGTAATTGCCAAGTTATTGGTTCTGGGGCTACCCTTTGGGGCAGTTGTCCTCCTCGTTGTTTCCCTTTATTACCCCTGAATCCCCCTCAAATGAATCCTTGTCACCTTTTTTGGTAACTGTACTGCTTTTAAATCTTCAACATGCTTAAGCCATGTTTTACTTGTTCATTATCTGCAATAAACATACCTCTTTCTAAAAAGTCCCAAGTGTGTAGGATGGCATATGCATACCAGGAATCTGTTGACATCTAAAATCTTCCCTGTCCTTCACTGTAAGGCTCAGGTGAAAGCTATCAGCTCAGCCTTTTGGCTGAAGTCCCTGAAAGTTGGCTTTGTGCTTCTACAATTTGGGTCAGAGAGGTTAATGTGTATCCTGCCAGCCTTTTTCCTTCTCTCATTAAACTTCTCTGAACCTTTTTGCTTCTTCAGGAAGAGGCTTACTTCCTAGGTCAGGGTCACTGTTCACTTCCTAGATCGAGTCTGTGATTTCTATACAGTCATGCTCCAGGGGCCCTATTTCTGTGGGTAGCATCATGGCAGAATCTAGCCTGTGTCAGGATTTTATGGTAACCACTGTGTTGTTTAAAAGCACAGAATGTACTTGAATCAAACTTCTAGGGGATAGACGTTCTGTCCCCTTAGAACTATGAAAGCTTGAACCTGGTGTGGAGTCCATATAGGGATTGGCTGACCAAGCATTAAAATTTCAGCCTCTTTTAGCAAGGTTGTAGTGGCTGCTACTGCCTGAAGGCAAAGCCATCTATTAGAAGTTTGATTTAATTGTTTAGAGAAATAGGCAACCACCAGTAAGGTGTTCCAGTTTTTGAGCTAATATCCCAAGAGCGATTCCTTTTTTTTCTTTTTTAATGTTTATTTATTTACTTATTTCTGACTGTGCTGGGTCTTCATTGATGCATGGGCTTTTCTCTAGTAGCAGAGAGCAGGGGCCACTTTTTCAACGCGGTGGCTTCTGTTGTTGTAGGGCACAGGCTCTAGGGTACACCGGCTTCAGTAGTTACAGCTCCAGGGCTCTTGAGCTTGGGCTAAGTAGTTGTGGTTCAAGGGCTTAGTTGCCCCAAGGCACATTCCAAAATCAGGGTTTGAACCTGTGTCTCCTGTATTGGCAGACAGATTATTTACCACTGAGCTACCAAGGAAGCCCCCTTTTTTCTATTGAATGTAAAGATCAAAGGGTTTATCTAAATCTGGGATGGCGAGGCCTGAAGCTATTGCTTTTCCAATTGAAAATACCCCTTTATATTCTGACGTCCATGTAAGAAGATCATCATTCTGTTAACTCTTTATATAGAGGCCTAGGGGCTTTCTGGTGGCCTGGACAGCAAAGAATCTGCCTGCAATGCAGAAGACACTGCAATGAGTTTGATTTCTGGGTCAGGAAGACCCCCTGGAGAAGGGAATGACTATCCACGGCAGCATTCTTGTAGAGTATTCCATGGACAAAGGAGCCTAATGGGCTACAGTCCATGGGGTTGCAAGGAGTTGGACACAACTAAGTGCCTAAAAAACTAGGTACCAGACCATAGTTAGGGGTCCAGATGCAGCAAAACCCAGCCAGCGATATACTGAAGCTGTCTGCTAGTTTTAGGAGGGTTCCAACAAGGGTTCTCCCATCTAGTGTTGTTTGACCCAATAAGGAGACTAAATTCAGGTTGGTTCAGAAGCAAAGGAAAGCTTTATTCTTTGATCCACGAAGGGAGAGGTATGAGCTTGTGGCTTAGAGCACACACTCTCCCAGATAGGCCCTGGGCAGGGCTGCTTTAAAGGGATTTTGTCACTAGCTGGAGGGGGCGGGGTTCTCATTGGGCAGGCTCAGCTTTGTGCTTATGGCTCCAGATCACAGTGCTGGGCGCAGTGTCTCTGCACAGGGCCCGCTCCTGCCATCTTGAATTGCAATATTCTGTGAATTGCCTCTGTACACAGCCTGCCAGCTGAGGTGTCAGCCCAGCTCTTCCACACTAGGAACTTAGGTCTGAAGTGCCAGGTGCCAGAAGCCTCCACATGTGGTGCCCAAAGAATAAGTAAAACTAGACAAAGCACAAAGGAAAGAAAAAAAAAGGTTATACTATATTCTATAGCTCAGATTCTATTTTTATCTTCTGGGACTTGTTAATGGATTTTGCTGGTTACAATATCACTTTGAATTTGGGAAGTATACTTCTTTTCTAGTGTGTTTGATGTACCATAATCTTTTTTATATGTAATTCTATCAAAACTATTATTAAATATTTGAAATTTTTGAATCCTTCCAAAGTCCTTTCACTGCACATATATGATGATCTACTTGGTGTATTTAATCTAGAATTATCAATAATCATCATCATTGTTACATGTAACTAGCCAGATTGTTTAGTTAATAAATAGACCCACAAGTATTTACAGTGTTGCTTCATGTGCCTAGCATAATGCAAGACCTTTTAGGATATATTAAAGCACAAAACATAATCCTGGCTGGGACATTGAGTGCTAAAGACAGTTCAGGACAGAAGCCCCAGATCTGATTTAGCCAGTTATAAGAGAGTGAGAGGTAAAATCCCGTTGGTGGATATTTTATTTCAGGATATTCTGAGGGTTGGTTACATCTTGGCTACCACTGTTGCTGAGGACAGGGCTGCTCCTGCGTTCTTGCCATGCTCACAGGTGGCCACATTGCTGGAAGAGACTGGGCCAGACCATTGTGATTCCTGCAAAAACACATGGGGAAAGCAGTGGTTGATATTGGCCTTTTATTTTTTTTTTATATTATTCCTGTTTTTTTGTTTGTTTGTTTTTTTTTTTTGGCTGTTTTTGTTTGTTTTACTTTTGAACTGTGTCTTGCCTGACAACATTATTAGCATTATTCAACTTTCTCTTGGGAACTTGACTTTTTCCTCTGAGAACTGAAGTTTCCCCCTTTTAATTGAGAGTCACTGACTAGGTCCTGACATTTTGCTGCTGGACTTCCCCGAGTCTAATACATTCAACTGATCACTGAATGACCTTTTGGAACACAACCAATTCCTAGGTTGGGGACTGGTCTCTAGATAATTGCCTCTTTCTTTTATTTTGTTGTGTAGAAAAAAAGATCAGTAAGATGAAGGACTATATTTTGAGATTTCTATTCCTGGTTTCCTATAAAATAAAACAATTTAACATGATTGAACTGTTGAATTACATTTTTGAGTTAGAAAGGCTCTTAAAAACTATATAGTCCATCTTTTAGAGTTGAACTAATAACAATAATGATTTCAGATTTAAAAAATAATCAAACTAAAAGGATATAGTAATTTTGTTTATGTGCCCTGTCACAGCCCTTGAATTTTTTTCATTCTAGGACCAGACGATCCATTAAATATAGTTAGAATTTTAAAGTTCATAAAGCACACTAAGAAAATTCAATATATGCTCAATAAAGAGTTCATAATTAATAGTCATAGAGGTTATGATTTTAGGCTTTTAATATTATTTTATAAACCTTGAAACTAAAAACAGGAAAAGATCATGCAGCTTCAATTTTAGTGCACATTGATGACAGTAACTTCCCAAATTTTATATATCTTTAAAACAGGAAATAAAATTTTCACATACTACAAATTTAGAACACTATTTTGCATATCTTAAATCATGATTTTATGAGATTGGGGTATGTCCTTTGCTGTTTATTTTCTTATCAACTAAGTGATATAATATTTAATAATGCAGGTTTAAAGACATCAACATATACCAGTCAGAATGGGCATCATCAGAAAGTCTACAAGTAATAAATGCTGCAGAGGGTGTTGAGAAAAGAGAACCTTTCTACACTGTTGGCAGAAATGTAAATTGGTACAGCTACTATGAAGAGAGCAGTATGAAGTTTCCTTACAGAGCTACCATATGATTCAGCAATCCCAATCCTGGGCATATAGCCAGAGAACTCCATAATTTGAAAAGATATATGTACCCCAGTATTCACTGCAGCACTATTTACAATAGCCAGGTCATGTAAGTAACCTGAATGTCTAAGAACAGAAGAATGTATAAAGAAAATGTGGTACATGTATACAATGGAGTATACATATATATTCCATTAAAACAATAGAATAGCTAAATAATGAAAAAAGAATGACATAATGCCTTTGCAACAACACAGATAGATCTAGAAGTTGTCATACTGAGTGAAGTCAGTTAGATAAAGGCAAGTATCACATGATATCACTTATATGTAGAATCTTAAAAATATTACAGATGAACTTATTTGCAAAGCAGAAATAGAGTCAGAGATGTAGAAAGCAATCGTATGGTTACCAGGTGGGGCAAAGGGGGGAGGGGCTAAATTGGGAGATTGGAATTTGACATATAGACACCACCATATATAAAATAATAACTAGTAAGATCTACTATGTAGCACAGAGACCTCTGCTCAATACTCTGCAATGATCTGTATGGGAAAAGACTCTAAAAAAGAGTGGATATGTGATTATGTACAACTGATCCACTTTGCTGTACAGTAAAGTGCTGTACACAGCATTGTAAGTCAACTACATGCCAAGAATATTTTTTTAAAAAAAGAACATAGCCAATCAAATATAAGAACAAAAAGGAGAGTTATATATTCTCAAAGATTTTTCATGTAAAGATAGGGTCTTTTAAAAATCCTCATAACCCAAGTTCTTTTAAACAATCTCTTTTTCTAAAGATGAAGGCTGTGTTACTGTCCATTATGTTGAAAGCTCATAAGCTCTTGCAGGCTTGGAACAGACTGTGATATAACAGACCACTGCAGAATTTTCAGTTTGAAAGACAATGTACTCTCTCAGCTTTTACCTCTATGGCTTCTTCATCCCAACCTAAACCATACAATATCTACTCTAAGGGGCACTTAGCTACATGTTACCTAAACTTCTGTTAAAAATCATATATTTTTGGCTCATAGAGATCCCAAGTTATTATCACAGTCAAATAGAAAACCAAAAAAAAAGCTTTTATACTCATTTTCTGCACACACTTTAGTTAATTCAGTTCAAAGAGAAGGGATTTATCTGTTGCTCTTTTGAAGATAGTTGTTTATTGTCAATGACTGTGCTCACTAAGAGATGTTAAAAGCATGGAAGTAAAAGTCACTCAGTTGTATCTGACTCTCTGTGACCACATGGACTATACAGTCCATGGAATTTTCCAGGCCAGAATACTGGAGTGGGTAGCTGTTCCCTTCTCCAGGGGATCTTCCCAACCCAGGAATTGAACTCAGGTCTCCTGCATTGTGTGAGGATTCTTTACCAGCTGAACCACCAGAGAAGCCCAAGAACACTGGAGTCGATAGCCTGTCCCTTCTCCAGGTGATCTTCCCAACAACCCAGGAATCATCCAACCAGGGTCTCCTGCATTGCAGGTGGATTCTTTACCAGCTGAACTGCCAGGGAATATAATATGATGCTTTTAAATACTTCTATGGTATACTTAGTGAAAGCAAGATACTACTTGCTTTTAGATTTGTAAAAGGAATTTAGAGATTATAAGACATGATTCTTTTTTTCCTAGCATGATTCCAAGTGTTTCTGTGAGGGTATTTTGGATGAAATTAACATTTAAATCAGTATACTGATTATAGAAATTGCCCTCCCTAATGTGGGTTGGCCTCACCCAATCAGAAAACCTGAATAGAACCAAAAGTCTGACTTTCTCCTCAGTAAAAGTTCTTTCTGCCTGTTTGCCTTCAAATTGGGACATTGGCTTTCTCCCTGCTTTTAGATTCAAAATGAATCAAGGACTCTTCCCGGAATCTTAAGCCTGCTGGCCTCAGGACTAGAACTAAGCTACTGACTCTTCTGGATCTATAGCTTGCCAACTCACCCTGCAGATCTAGGGATCTTGGGGTTTGCTAGCCTCCATAACTTTGTGAGCCAATTCCTTGTAAAAAATCTTTTGGCACATATGTACATCTCTATACATATAATTTGTTCTGTTTCCCTGAAAAACCCTAATATACCCTATTCTTAGTCATGAAGCATTCTCCTGTGTTTTCTTGTTTAGGAATCTAGCTTCTACATTTAGGTCTGTGATTTATCAATAATGAGTTTATGGGCATGAAGGAAAGTAGAAGTTGGTCTTCATTTTTTGTTTCCCTTCAGCAGTACATTCAATTGTTTCAGCACCATTTCTTTAAAAAAGCTTTTCTTTCTCCATTAAAAAGATTTGGTAAATCAGTCAAAAATAAATTGCCTATATAGATGTGCAATTAATCTAAACTCTATTGTATTCCACTAATATTTATTCTTTCGTATGCTATTACCACACAGTCTTAAATATAATAGCTTTACAGTAAGCCTTGTAATCAGATATAGAAAGTCCTCCAAGTTTCAATTTATCAAGATTGTTTTTACAATTCTAGATGCTTTGAATTTCCAAACAAATTTTAGAATGAATTTGTCTATTTCAACTAGTCTCTGGAATTCTGTTGACTTGCATTGAATCTGAAAATCAATTTTGAAAAAATGTTAATATTATTGAGTCTTACAATCTATTAGCATGTAGTATCTATTTATATTTTTGTTAATTATTTTCAATATTTAGACTTTTTAACAGATCTTTCATGTCTTTGATTAGATTTGTTTATAGATATTTGATCATTTTCTGAGTTTTATTCTGTTTTCACTTAATGTATTTGATAATCCATAAATAAGTCAGAGGAGGAACAAAAATACCAAACACTAAATGAAATATCTGATAATTGTTGCACCTGGGGCTATCTCAGTGTCTCTTTTGGCTGAATGTTTCCTCTTTTTACTGTAAATCACATTTTTATAGTTATTTATAAGTCATGTACTTTTTCATTATATTCTGGACATTGTATGTAAAATAGAGACTGAAATAAACATTACACCTAGTAAAAGCTATGCTCCTTCTTTGGTCAGGCTGTTAGCGTAGGGAGCTAAACTAATACAGCTCTATTTAGTTTTAGTTTATACCTTGTTTAAAATTTTTATTTATTATTATTATTTTACTTTTTGGCCACACCCCATGGCACATGGGATCTTAGTTGTCCGACCAGGGATTGAACCTGTGCCCCCTGCATTGGAAGTGTGAAGTCTTAAACACTGGATGCCAGGGAAGACCCAGTTTTACATTTTTAGAGTCAAGACTTTTTCTTTATCAGGGATTGGGATCTCAGCATGCCAAGTTTTTAGCAATCCCTTTATGCTTTACAACTTAGGTGACAGCTTCCTGAATTGTAGGATCTCTCCTCTCTCCCTCTGCTTTAAATTCTGGCAGTCAAATTTTGATCACTGAGGAGTTCTTGTTTTCTAATCTCATTTCTGGCTTTCTAAACAATAAGAGATGTTTTTCCATTCTACTGACATTTCCCCAGCTTTCTGACAGTCTCTAGAGTGCATTCTCTAAAAGCCTGGAGTGCACAAGTGCGGATGATAATCAGTTCAATTCAGTTGCTTAGTCGTGTCTGACTCTTTGCAACCCCATGGACTGTAGCACGTCAGACTTCCCTGTCCATCACCAACTCCCAGAGTCGCTTCAAATTCATGTCCATTGAGTCCGTGATACCATCCAACCATGTTCATAAAATTTTTCTCCACATCCAGCCCTATTACCATCCCCAGGAAGCCCTAGTCTTACTTGTGGGAAATGCTCATTTCTCAGGGAATGGGACACTCTTTCAGCTTTCCCAGATTTTGTTTCATTACCATTACTCATATGCTTACTGAAGACTCAGAGAGAAGAGTGAGTAGTTGAGTGTACATACCAAGTGACTGGGGCTCTTTAGGATTTCACCTCATCACTACAGCCTCCATGTGGCTATTAAAATTTCTTAAATTTTAGTTCATTTCTTCTTACTGCAGTTCAGGTAGTTTTGATGAAAGCAACGGCAGATGCCTTCTCTCTTAGAACAGTTTATTACTTTCTGGAATTTAATTCATTCTTGTTCTTTGCGGCCTTGGCTTTCTGGTGGGTTTAAAAAGATAAATGTATAATAGTGAAATTTATCTGACTTGTTCTCATTATTAACCTGGGAGCCAAGTCCTTTTAACTGAAAGTAGGAGTCCCAAATCAGCATGCTGCTTTTAATTCACTGGTTTTGCAAATAATAGATACAGAAAAGCATGGAGTTCTTTAGTGGCATGAAGTTGTTCCTACAGCTGAAAGCAACTTCTTTGATCTTATACTGTCCTGTTTTCGATTGATCTGTCACTGATTAATGGTGATATTGCTGCTGCTGCTAAGTCGCTTCAGTCGTGTCTGACTCTGTGCAACCCCATAGACGGTAGCCCACCAGGCTCCCCCGTCCCTGGGATTCTCCAGGCAAGAACATTGGAGTGGGTTGCCATTTCCTTCTCCAATGCATGCATGCAGGCTAAGTCGCTTCAGTTGTGTGCGACTCTGTGCGACCTTATGGACAGCAGCCCACCAGGCTCCTCTGTCTACAGGATTCTCTAGGCAAGAATACTGGAGTGGCTTGCCATTTCCTTCCCTCAGTGGTGATGATAAGATCATTCTAAATGTGAAAAAAGTAATTCTTGGGAACCTAACATGAATTTTCAGTTGGAGGGAAAATTTGGTATGTCACAGTACTGAATAAAAGAAGTGCTAAGATGCTTTCTTCTTCTCTGGCTGTGTGTCTGTAGCCCAGCTTAGCTGTGTTCTTCAGAGATGCAGATGAAATTATCACTTTCCATACTCAAAAGTGATTTTTCCCAAGTGGACTTTTAGGGGGGGTGAGTAGAAACTTGTCCTTTGGTTAGGAAGTCTAGTGTGATAATGAGAGTAGCTCCACTCATCAAGGTCTCTGAACATTCAGTCTGCTGATAATTCCACGCTATACCCCGTACTTCCTTTCTCAAAGGCCAATATTTAAGAATATCCCTCTCATCCTTTCACCTTTCTATGCTCCATCACTGAAACACTCTAGCAATAGTTGAAAGTGAAAGTTTGGACTCTGATGCCTGGTGGCTTTGATTAAATCTTAATCACACATCTTTTGTTGGGCATGTTATTATACTTTAATCCCTTTGTACCTTGTGTGACTCCATGGACTGTAGTCCACCAGGCTCTTCCGTCCTTGGAGTTCTCCAGACAAGAATACTAGAGTGAATAGCCATTCACTACCCCACGGGATCTTCCTGACCCAGTGATCAAATCTGGGTCTCCTGCATTGTAGGTAGATTCTTTACTGTCTGAGCTACCAGGGAAGCCCCTACTTAGCACTTAAATGTGAGCTATTTTATAATATTATTTACACTTTCAAATGGCCAGGTAATGTGCTAAACAATTTTCAAGCACTATCTCAAGTAAGAATCCTCTCACCTCCTGTGATATCAGTATTATCATCCCCATTTTGCTATTGTAGAATTTCAGGCTCAAATAGATTAGACTGCACAATCTTTAAGATGAAACCAGAAGTCAAGGTGTCAGATCTTTTAATTCCAGAGTCATATACTTAACCACAGTTTTGCTAATTCTTATTTCAGGTATCATTTCCCATGAAGCATGTTACGGAAATAACCTGTGTAAAATGTTGCAGGGTTTTAATATCTCAGTGGAGAAATTGCTTAGGAATCCAGAAGCTCTTGATTCTGGGACCACGTATCTACTATTCTCAAGAGTAAACTTATAATGTTCCTATTCTACCAACGCCTTTAAAAGCTGTAGGAATGAACCTAAGAGGTTCATGTGGGACTTTCAGAGTTGAGATTAATTGCACTTTCAGAGTTTAGATTAATTGCACATGTATATAGGCATGGAGCTTCCTTTCTTATCTGTAGACATTTTTCCTTCAGTACCAGGATAAAGAACTCCGTCATGTTCAGGGGAATTTTACCTTCTTCAGGCAGAAGGAACCACAAGTGAGGAGTCATCTGTGCCTCCGCAATAGGTCAATAAGACAAGCCAGAGTAATCTATGGGAGTCAGTAAATAGACCATAAGAGACAGCTAGGAGAGAGGCTTTCATTTGCTATTCTGAGAAATGTAAAAGAAAAATTACCTGATCATGACTTATTGAGGGCATTAGGGAATCAGCAATTGTCAATTCTGCTGAAGGGAAGCAATTTAAGTAGACAGACAGGTGGGAGCCCTTACGGAGTCTTTGTGCGAAGAGTATGAGGAAGGAAAACAAGTGAAGGCTCACACTGCACTGTTCTAAAAGTGCACTGTTCTAAAAGTGAGTGAAAGTCAATCAGTTGTGTCTGACTCTTTGCAACCCCATGGACTATAGCCCACCAGGCTCCTCTGTCCGTGGGATTCTCCAGGCAAGAATACTGGAGGGGACTGCCATGTCCTGCTCCTGCACAGAGTTCTAAGTAGAGCTGTTTTCTCAAGGCTGGGGCAACAGAAACTGTGGGTTCTTATAGATGACTTGAAATAAGAACCTGATCTAAATGCATTAAAGGGATTCCAAAAAGATGACACAATGTTTTTCCTCCCCAGTTGGCATCACCCTCCTTCCTATAATTTAAAGAAGTAACTATTTACCAAAAAGGGTATTAGTGTATTTTTTGCCAATTGTGGAATAATGTGTTCCATTCTTGCTAGATATAGGGTAGAAGTTTTTTTCCTTATTTTTTGTTATTTTTATGTTTGTTTGTTTTTGTATCAAAAAGTATAATGTTTTATACATGAAAAGTCCCAAACAATGCTCCTTTGTTTGCTTTTGACAAGAGGACAAAACCTTTAAATACCCAGAGAATTTTGAGAAAGTTGAAAAAATTTAATAATCATAATAAAAATTTGTTACATGCTAATTTTAATTCACAAATTAATAATTAATTTAAAATCATGTTTAATCTTCACAGTGATCTTTGTGTTTTCCCACGTTTTATTGATGGGGGAGCATTAATGTGGAATTTATGTAACTTGTTCATGATTTCACACCTAGTGGATTGAACAGAACAAATTCATGTACTGGTGTTCCTATCTTCAAAAGCAGTGCTCTCCATTACTGCACAATAATACTTGAAGAGATATGTGTTTGTAGTTGGAGGCTTCTAGACTGTGGGGACACCAAGTATATCAGTAAAGTTTCAATCAGAGAAGCAGAACTGCTTTGTTATAAGTATTTGAACTTACCCACTGTGGGAACCAGTTAAGTAGTCTGTAAAACTGTTGCTTTAGTCTCTGTAAAGCTGTTGCTTTTCATTTCAGAGTCTGCAATCCAGAAGACATGTAAGTGGGAAGGGAAAATGGATATAAAGTAGGAGAGAAAACCAAACAATTCAGAACTAATGAACAAAGCTGAATTTACAAATATCAGCTAAAACCCACAATTGGCTTTCACAGCCTCCAACTTTGACATCTGCTATCCCTGGTGACCTTCAGAAGTTGGTACCCTTCATCTGAGAGTGAACAGCTACCCTAGTTTTCCAGGACAGAGAGGCTAATGCCAGAATAAATAGGTCTCCAAAACAAAATGGAAGCTGGAGTGATTTTGCTTATTAGAACTTTACCTTTTACTGTTAACAAGTACTCACTTGGATAATTTGTGCTTGCCTTCTCCACAATTCTGGTCTCCCTGAATCTATAGGTTCTTGTTCCAGAGGGGAAATATTTCTGATTTGTGACTCAACGAGTCTTCCATTAAACTTAAAGCTATGCCTGTTATATTGTGTTCCTTTGTATTTTTTGCAACAAGAGATAATCAGACAAGGAAAGGGCTATCATATGAAGGGTAATTGACTGTGATCAACAGGATATGGTAGGGATTTTATTATATAATTTGGGCAGGGAGAAATATATAGTATACTTGGGATTCAGACGATCTATTGGAGCTTTTCTTTCAGTTCTTTGTCCAATATTGGGAATCAATGGACAAGTGCAGCAACCATAGTATGAGAAGGGTAAGATGACCAGGGATGAAGTTCTATCTCATTTTGCATCATAGTCTACACCAGTACATCACAGTGCCTGGAGCAGTGGAGGTTCCAGCTGGGGATGAGTGTAATCTAGATTACTGGGTGGAAAAGGAAAGAGATGATGAGTATTATTCTGAGCTTGAGACCAGCTCCAGCAATGATTCTTATTGATGACACATTTGTAAGCTTCCCTATGAAAAGAGATCAATCAACATACTGGATCATCTGTGTTCCAGATGAGGTGAATTTACCTTATGGAGCAAGTTGATGCAAGCAGCTGCAGTGGATGTTGTGAGGTGCTGGCCAGATGCCCTCTTTAGAAATAAACACACATTTTACCAGCTTCAGCTTCCAGAGGTTTTGATTGTTGAATTATCAGGATTCCTCTGTAGAAATTACATTTGTCAAAGGAAGCTGCCTTTTCCACTTCTCTTTCATGGGGTCATCCTACACCCATGACTGGACAGTATGAGGGTACAAAGCCCCAGCTTCCTTATAAAATCAAGATAAGTTTTCAGGTCTACCCCAGATCTGGGGCTCCTCGCATGTTGGTTAAGACCTCTGTTTCTAACTTCTGTTAAATCTCTTCATTGGCTTACGTTACAGCTTAGTTGGTGAAGAATCTGTCTGCAATGCAGACGGGTTTGATTCCTGGGACAGGAAGATCCCCTGGAGAGGGAAATATCAACCCACTCCAGTACTCTTGCCTGGAGAATCTCATGGACCGAAGAGCCTGGCAGGCTACAGTCTGTAGGGTCACAGGAGTCAGACACAACTGAGCAACTAAAGCACCACCAACCTCTCCATCACCCAATCCTGCCTCCATTATCCCTCAAGCAATGTCCTGAAGGTATTTCTTAACAAGCCTCATGCATGAAAATCCCACAGATGCAGTTTGCTTTCTGAGTAATCCATCTTAAGACATAGTGTAATACAGTAAACGAGATAACCTTAGTACAAGAAAAGCTACAGTAATGGGCTTTAGGTCATGATTTATGTCCTAGTTTACCTTTTTCTCCACTCCCCGGGAACTTAGAAGCTGTAGCAGGCACACATGTTAAAAAAGCTAAACACACCAATTTGAGGTCAGTTAATGCACCTCATAGACTTCCCTGGTGGCTTAGATGGTAAAGCGTCTGCCTACAATGCGGGAGACCCGGGTTCAATCTCTGGGTCAGGAAGATCTCCTGGAGAAGGAAATGGCAACCCACTCCAGTATTCTTGCCTGGAAAATCCCACGGATGGAGAAGCCTGGTCATATATTGAGATAAGGATTAAGATAACTCCAATGGAATGAAACCATGATTCTTTGGAGTTCCAGAGGCTACTTAGTAAGCTCAAGATTGAGCATCAGTAATTGGCAAACAGTAATTCATGAGCCAAATGTGGTCTGCTGCTTATTTCTGTAGATAAAGTTATCAAAATAAGGTATATCCTTCTTTCGTCTTGGCTAGTCTGCTCTTTGGCTTGCACGTCAGGGCCGAGTAGTTGTGATTGAACCTATATGAACTTCGAAGCCTAGAATATGTACTCTCTGACTCCTTACACTAAAAAATTTTCAACCCAAGAAGGAACCTGATTTGAAAATAGGTAATGTAAAGAAGACTGGGTCGAGGGATCAGTAATAGTTGACTCTAAGCTGGAGAGGAAATCACTTCTGGAGGAAATATCAAGTAAATTTGCATCAAAAAAATGTTACAGTATCCCAATAAACCTAGGCAGTGGCCATTACCATAGCCCTTTGCCCTAGAAAGTTCACATCTGTTGCCTTGGGTCACACTGCATAATCATAGTAACAAAACTAATTCTGAGATATAACATAGGTTCATATTAAGAAATGTTGGCTTCTTCCTGATTCATTTCCCCAAAGAAGGTGAAGTTGAGGCTTGTGTTAATCGAGGATTTGTTGTTGTTCAGTCACTCAGTCGTGTCTGACTCTTCACAACCCCATGGACTGCAGCACACCAGACTTCTGTGGCCTTCACCATCTCCTGGCGCTTGCTCCAACTCATGTTCATTGAGTTGGTGATGCCATCCAACCATATTGTACTCTGTCATCACCTCCCCCTCCCACCTTCAATCTTTCCCAGGATAAGGGTCTTTTCTAATGAGTTTGCACTTCACATTAGCTGGCCAAAGTATTGGCGCTTCAGCATCAGTCCTTCCAATGAATAGTCAGGTTGATTTCCTTTAAGATCAACTGGTTTTATCTCTGTGCTGTCCAAGGGACTCTCAAGAGTCTTCTCTAAGACTCCAAGATGCACAGTTTAAAAGCATCAATTCTTCAGCGTTCAGCTTTCTTTATGGTCCAACTCTCACATCCATACATAATTAATGGAAAAACCATAGGTATGATTAGATGGACCTTTATCACCAAAATGGTATCTGTGCTTTTTAATGCATTGTCTAGGTTTGTCATGGCTTTTCTCCAAGGAACAAGTGTCTTTTAATTTAATGGGTACATTCACCGTCCATGGTGATTTTGGAGCCCAAGAAGATAAAATCTGTCACTGTTTCCAATGTTTCTCCATCACTTTTCCATGAAGTGATGGGACCAGATGCCATGATCTTAGTTTTTTGAGTGTTGAGTTTTAAGCCAGGTTTTCCACTCTCCTCTCCTCAAGATGCTCTTGAGTTCCTCCTCATTTTCTACTATTGGGGTGGTATCATGTGTATGTCTGAGGTTATTGATATTTCTCCCAGAAATCTTGATTCCAGCTTGTGCTTCGTCCACCCCAGCATTTCTCATGATGTACTCTGCATATAAGTTAAATAAGCAGGGTGACAATATACAGCCTTGATGTTCTCCTTTCCCAATTTTGAACCAGTCCTTTGTTCCATGCCTCATTCTAACTGTTGTTTCTTGACTTGCATACAGGTTTCTCAGGAGGCAGATAAGGTGGTCTGATATTCCCACCTCTTTCAGAATTTTCCACAGTTTGTTGTTATCCACACAGTCAAAGTCTTTAGCATAGTCAATGAAGCAGAAGTAAATGTTCTGGAACTCTCTTGCTTTTTCTATGATGTAACAAATGTTGTCAATTTGACCTCTTGTTCCTCTGCCTTTTCTAAATCCAGCTTGTAGTTCTGGAAGCTCTTGGTTCACATACTGTTGAAGCCTAGCTTGAAAGATTTTGAGCATGACCTTGCTAGCATGTGAAATGAGAACAATTGTGCAGTAGTTTGAACATTCTTTGGCATTGCCCTTCTTTGGGATTGGAATGAAAACTGACCTTTTCCAGTCCTGTGGCCACTGCTGAGTTTTCCAGTTTTGCTGCATACTGAGTGCAGCACTTTCACAGCCTCATCTTGTAGGATTTGAAATAGCTCAGCTGGAATTCCATCACCTCCACTAGCTTTGTTTGTAGTGATGCTTCCTAAGGCCCACTTGACTTTGCATTCCAGGATGTCTGGCTCTAGGTGAGTGGTCATGGCATCATTGTTATCCAGGTCATTAAGATTTTTTTGTATAATTCTTCTTTGTGTTCTTACCACCTCTTCTTAATATCTTCTGCTTCTGTTAGGTCCGTACCATTTCTGTCCTTTGCATGAAATATTCCCTTGTTATCTCTAATTTTCTTGAAGAGAACTGTAGTCCTCCCCATTCTATTGTTTTCCTCTATTTCTTTGCATTGATCACTGAAGAAGGCTTTCTTATTTCTCCTTGGCATTCTTTGGAACTCTGCATTCAGATGGGTGTATCTTTCCTTTTTTCCTTTGTCTTTCACTTCTCTCCTTTTCTCAGCTACTTGTAAGGCCTCCTCAGACAACCATTTTGCCTTTTTGCATTTTTTTTTCCTTTGGAATAGTTTTGATCACTGCTTCCTGTACAATGTTATAAATCTTTATAGTTCTTCAGGCACTCTATCAGATCTAATCTCTTGAATCTATTTGTCACTTCCACTGTATAATCATAAGCGGTTTGAATTAGGTCATACTTGAATGGCCTAGTGGTTTTCCCTACTTTCTTCAATTTAAATCTGAATTTTGTAATAAGAAGTTCATGATCTGAGCCATATCCAGCTCCTGGTCATGTTTTTGATGACTGTATAGAGCTTCTCCATCTTTGACTGCAAAGTATATAATCAATCTGATTTCGGTGTTGTACTGGTAATGCACATGTGTAGAGTTGTCTCTTATTGTTGGTTGGCGGTGGTGTTTGCTATGACCAGTGTGTTCACTTGGAAAAACTCTGTTAGCCTTTGTCCTTCTTCATTTTGTACTCCAAGGCCAAACTTGCCTTTCCTCCAGG